TTGAGAAATAGTTTGACTCAGACAATTTCATGACAAATTTAAACAAGTGAACAATTATACAAATGGTGCGTTGCTTGCCCTTTTTTTTTTGGGTAAGAATAAGTATTGTTGATTATGCTAAATAGTTTAATTATCTTCAAGTTTATTCGATTAATGGCGGAAGTGGAAGACCCCTTCAAAAAGGCTGCAAAATAAACCAAAATCAATTCAAATGAGATTAGAAATATCTCTTGATTGAATGACAGGCTTAAATAAATAAAAAATAGGCTACTGGGCGCATTTCCACTTACAGCGCGGTTTAAGCGAGCCGTGCACGGCCCGTTTTTGGTTGCGTTTCACTTTGGCGTTGTACCGGCTAGCAGGTACTATTTAAAAGTTTTTCTGGCCCCATAAATCATGGTTCTTTCCGGACAATCAACTCAGGGCTGAGTCCGGGCTGAGTATGCTAAACTAGAGAGAGGAATCGCTGGCAAGGGGTGGACTACAAATACAACAAGATGAACATTTTGACGTGATTTAATTAGTAATACACATTCAAAATTGATGCCGAAGTAACAAACGACTACTGATACCGGTTAGTAAAAACCATGAATAATGCTGTGACAAGTCTGCATGACATCCCCACGGGCAGGCGAACAACTTAAAATGGTGTTTTCTGAATGGAGATCTGCTACGATAACGCAGTATGCAGAGTTCCCGTCTCGCCGGTTAATTCCGGACTACTGGACCGAAATATGCTGAAGACCGGCAAATCTAAATTCTCTCCGGTCAAAGTGTTACGGTCAAAATAATTTCCGCTGTTAGCGGAATACCGCATCAGTTGCGCACTTGCGTCCTTTAAGTGACAGCACAAAGAGTATGTGACAGGACAAGAATAGTCCATCTCTAATGTCTAACGGCCGTCCACACACAGGCAATTGAAAAAAATCTTGAAAAATCTTGATGCTGGGCGTGTCTGGAAGGCTGGCGATTTTTGCGAGCCAACGCCGACCAACAACCAATCACATGGAATTCACCGCCTCCGACTACAAGGCAATAGCCAATTTTAAACTAAGTAAACTGGATATAAACTCCCCAACCAGGCGAAAACCTACCAGTTTCACCAACTGTCTCCTGCCACCTCCTCTAAATGGCTGGTACCTCCGGTTTTTGTATCCGGTAATACTTACTGGTCGTAAAAGAACCGGGTGATTTGCTACCGTCATTTCTCGTTTGGAAATATGAGGAAATTGAACTGCGGTCTGGCTCTCCCAGCTGCGACGGCAGTTTTTGATTAGTAGCGCTTGCTTACTGGCGATTGCATAAAAGGGGATTTGATGTGGCGATGCAGCTCGAAAGACGGGGCATCAAAAGTTGAACATTGCTCAACTTTTGATGGCCTCACGATTCTTGGCAAGCCATGCTCCGTTCCCGCCACAATTGCAGTTCGGGCGAAGATTACAATTCTACGTCGCCCCATTTAAGTGAATGGGCGAAGCTTTGAAAATTTTTTCATGGCTGTTGTGGACGGGCCGTAAACACTTAATGTGGAGTAAAGAGATGTCCTGTATGGGTTGATTTGTGCGTTGATCTGCTTGGTAATGCCTCGGTGTTCCGGTGGGCATGTTGTGAAACAAATGCATAATGCTGAGCTATAATGAGCACCCTCACCCGGTTGCATAGCGACGCTTATTGTTTAGGTGTCTTTTAATAAGCAGGTAGTCATATCATTAGCTAGAACTAGCTGGATCTGATCGATATGGACATAAACGCGAGTGAAGTCTAATCTGACGAGTCGACACGCAGCTCTGCATGATCAGCGGAGAGCGGAACAAAACACACGCTTCAGGTTAGAATATCACACGTAGATATTTTTAATTACCTCTGAAACTACCGTAGCTAGTTATAGATATGTTTAGTTTTACTGTCGGGTCACTCATTACTGATCCGCGAGCTGCATGATACTGACGGCTTGTCAGGAGAGGGAGAAAGCGCTCCGTTTATTATTCCCGTGTTATTGTAAATTACTGTACACTTTTGAATAGTTAATCGACTATAATTAGTTTGATTAATATCGAATCATATCAATTTGTTTTAAAGCTCAATAAATAACAAAGAAGACCTTTGACCGGCACTTTTCAAATTTTGTCCGGAAGAATTAAACTTTAACGGACATGTTGACCGGCGAAAACATATTCTAACGGGAACTCTGCGCAGTATATATATATATATATATTGAGGATTTAAGTTACATCCTCTTCAAATCACCACACACACAGTTAACCCGTATTATTAGATGCAGTAAGCAGCAAATATACAGCGCCTTGGGAGCAGTTTGGTGGTCCGGTGCCCAGGAGGTACACTGGTCGCTATTATATCATCCCAAATTCCCAATATAAACTCTCTGCAGCAGAAGAAGAGTTGTGTCAGGGGTCAGGCCTTAAAAGGTTTTACTTAAACAAAACTCTCTGAGCTGGAGTGATGTAGATGTGAAAGTATTTTCTAAACCGGCGTCTAAAGGGAAGGTGATTGCTACTTGATGATGTTTGACAGCAACAAATCATCACAATCACTGTGTCTGCAGCGAGAGGAAACAGCTGCTGATCCCAGTCCAGGTGGTAAAAGAGACTGAGTCTGACTTTCCACTGATGAGCACCACTTAGTCACTGACGGAGAGAAGAGACCGAACATCATGTCTATCTCACCGTCATTACATCTGTAATTTACCTGCTATCTCACCTCATGCTCATTCAAGGGACAACAGCGGAATAAAGGTTTGATTTAAAGTGGTCTTTTACTTGAGTATTTCTACTTTGTACTTCTTACTCCACTACATGTATTTAATACCTTTAGTTACTTTACAGATCTGGATGAATGATGTGAAATATAATCAAGTGTTAAATCAGACTTTAGTTCCACCTGGAGTAAATCCACAAGCTACCCTGCAGTAGGCTATACAAAGTCATTCAAACTAGCTACACCTTTACCAGCTTTGAGAACACTTTCATGATCAATCGTTATAAAACATATCATATATATTATTCTGAAATGGACCAATCTGCACAATGACTACTTTTACTGTCGCTACTTTCACTATATTTTGATGAGAATACTTTTCCACTTTCACTTGAGGAACATTTTGAATGCATGACTTTTACTGTAACAGAGTATTCCTACACTCTGGTACTTCTACTTTTAATGAAGTACAACATCTGAGTACTTCTCCCTCCTCTGGTCTACTCACACTTTAGAGATAAGTTACATCTTAAACATTAGATAAATCCTATGAACAGGGCAGATAAAAGCACGTTACATATTATACAAAATCTCTTCATCTCAGTGTTATAGTATTCAACGCAGCAAAATGAAAGCAATTTATATGATTACCTGGAACTGTTGGTAGTGGTGTGCTTTATTCTGCTGACATTCATAAACATTTGTGTTCTGTCCATGACTCATTCATTGGTATTAAAGACATGTTGGTTTCTATTATTAAGGGGAAAAAAAGCATGAAAAATAAATGAAAGAAGATTATAGACTCCACAGAGTTTCGTTTGCTTTTGATAACGGGTTGGTTTTTATAGTTTGGGCAAGGCTCATGGCATAGATCACAATGACAACCGTTTAGTGTTTCAACATAACAACATAACGGCTATGTGCACAAAAACAGGTCCATTACATAATAATTATCCCAATTTGGTGAAAAAGAAGGTGACTCTCCTACAAAGCCTTTACCTTCCCAACATGTTTGGGAGGAGCTGGATTACCAAACGCTGGGTTGATTTCACAAATGAGAACAGGATCCAAAATATGGCGCAGAGCCTGAAACCAGAAGACCGCAGGCTTCTTTCCACAGCGTAGTTGAATGCTCGATTCCGATTGGTCAATTTGGCCATTCCAAAGGTTTGTTTATTTTTGCTAACAGTCTGTTGCTAAGGAAAACTGACAGTTGCTAAGGGACTATGTGCAGTCATATCAATTCACAAATATATGAAAGTTTAAAATGGTGCATTTCTTTGGGTAAGAAGAAAAAAAGGATTAGATTATCTGAAATAAATACATTCCTGCCCTTATTGCAGTCTATGGCGATAGATTGGCAGCCCATTCCAACAACTGGATATGCACATGATAAAAAGGAGGTTAGAAATATATCTTGTAAGACCTGTAAAAGCAAGTCAAATAACACAAAGCACACGTGCAAATTTGAGAAAGGAAAAATGCAAAAAATGAATTAATTCCTCATCAGTTTTCTTCCCACTAGAGGGAGCTATTGTATTGTAACAGTTGAGGTGAGTGTCTCAAAAACAGACTTCATGACACAGAACCAAAACAACCTCTGCAGTAAAATAATCATTTTACTTTCATGCACATGAACCATGTTTATTTGTTCTATTTTATTATTTCTATTCATAGTCACAGGATGGAGGAGCCTTTCCCAGCATGCAAAAATAATACCTAGGATTAGGTGTTCAGATGAAGACACTGATATTCTTATTTATTGGTAGTTTAGAGACTTTAATCCACCTGACGTGCAGGCGGCAGAGAATATGCAAACGTTGTAGAGAACAGGATGAAGTCGAGGAATTTGGGTTTAGTAAGGGACAATACACACATAACAGTGTTTCTGCAAACTCATGCAACTTTTTCTACAAATCCTGTATCATACTCGAGATGTATCTTTTAGGTTATGATATTCTAAGGCCTGCAAATAAATGGAAGCCAACGTGACAGAGCAGGGTGGACCTAAATGCAGGATGTGCAAAGATTTAACAGAAAAACACCTTTTAATGACAGGGTATGCAGGCCAAACAGAGCAGAGCAGGGCAAGGCCAACACAACAGAACAGAGCTCTCCAATGAAAAATAAACAAGGATCGGACAAACAGAAAACTAGAACTTAAATACATGCAAAACGAATCACAAGGACAAGACACAGCTCGAAAGGGCAGGAAAAACAGAAGGGCAGAAGGTGAATGGAATCAGGTAATCAAACAGGCGGGTACACACACAGACTGTAAGTTAAATAAAAACACAAGGGGTGAACACTTTTCAAAATAAAACAGGGAACATTGACAGATCATGACGTACCTACAAAGTAGTATGTACCACATTTAAATGGTAAATCAATTACATTTTTATAGTGTTTTCCAGTCTTTACGATATATACCTTCACACCACCGAACAATGTGCCACCT